AGCGGGGCGGACACCCAGACGGACGACAGTCAGGAGCCGGACGAATCACCTCAACCATAGGCCTAGGCAGACACACGGGTGACCGGAGGAGGGTCTCGAGTGAGGGACCCGGGGAGTGAAGTGGCACAGCCAGCACCCACTCCGGCCCCACGGGTTCTTACCCCTTACACGGAGGGCCTATCAAGCTACGGGTGGGTCCGTAGCCTGGAATCTAACAAACCCAAACCGATTCCTGCATTTATCTGAGTGCGTGTTTGTGTGTGTTTCAGTTCAATTCCCTCGGCCTCCTCCCACAAACAAACGATCTGTGAGCGGTGGCGGCATTTTCTCAGAAAACCTGAAAAAAATAGTTACAAAAATGCTAGAAATCACTTTTCATCAGTCACGGCTAATTACGACGTGTGACAGAATCACAGTCGCCGGTCATTCCTCAGACTGTATTACGTTCTGTTGTCCGTACAGCCGCCGTCGCGGGAACACATTCATCATGTATGTGCGGGGTAAATATGTGGCGTTCGTTTCTATATTTCTATATTTCTATATTTCTTGTATTTTGATAATATATTATAGTAATAATTGTAATTTTTTATTTAATTAATTTAATTATATTTAAATAATTAATAACAAAAAATTATAAATAATAAAATTAAAATAATAAAAAATTAAATTAAAAATTAAAAATATTAAAATATATATTAAAATATAATAATAAAATATTAAAATATAAATAAGTATAAATAAAATATTAATAAATAAAGATAAATAAAAATAAAATATTAAAATATAATAAAATATTAAATAAAAAAAAATTAAAAATAAAAAATAAATAATAATTAAAATTATATTTAATTAATTGTAATTATTATTATAATAATAATTGTATTTTGATAATTTTCAAAATATTCAAAATCTCCCACGATTCCGTCTCTCCAGGAGCTGGGGGTCCTCTTTAATTTTGACTGTTTGATATTTTACGCTGCACAAAATACCTATACAAAATTCTTTATAGTTGGTCTTGTGATCTATTTCAACTGATCAGCAGTCGTACGCTTTCAGACTTCCCCCAAATTTAATCACAATTCCTCCTCAGTCACACACATTCACATTCACTCTTTTTTAGGCATTTGGTACTTTAGGGACTTCTGCCCAGGGACTCCAAACCAATTAGTTCTAGGGTTGACTGTCCATGGACTACAACCCATTTAGTTCTAAAGGTTTACTGCCCAGAGATTTTCAACCCATTTAGTTCTAGGGTTTACTGCCCATGGATTTCCAACCCATTTAGTTTTATAGACTACTGCCCTGTGACTGCAACCCGCTTAGTTCTAGGGTTTACTGCCCAGGGATTTTTCAGCCCGTTTTGTTCTAGGTTTTACTGCCCATTTCCAACCCACTTAATTCTAGAATTACTGAGCAGGGATTTTTAGCCCATTTAGTTGTAGGGACTACTGCCAGGGACTCCAACCCACTTATTTCTAGGGTTTACTGCCCAGATTTTTTCAACCCTCTTAATTCAACGGTTTACTACCCAGGGACTCCAACCCACTTAGTTCTAGGGACTGATGCCCCACGAATCCAACCCACTTAGTTCTAGGGTTTACTGCTCAGGGACTCCAACCCACTTAATTCTAGGATTTACTGCCCAGGTTTTTTTAACCCACTTAGTTCCAGGGTTTACTGTCCAGGGACTCCAAACTACTTAGATCTAGGGTTTACTTCCCCGTGACTACAACCCGCTTAGTTCTAGGTTTAACTGCCCAGGGATTTTCAACTAACTTAGTTCTAGTGACTGCTGCCCAGTGACTCCAACCCACTTAATTCTCGGGTTTACTGCCCAGGTTTTTTCAACCCACTTAATAAATTTAGGAATTTATGCTCAGGGACTCCAAGCCATGTTTCAACCACGCGCTGGTAATAAAAAAAAAGCGTTTCGCACCCTGTTCGTCCATCTTATTCTGGTATCAGATGTCGTCAATCAGCAGCCCAAGATCAGGTATTGGAGAACTGGCCCGAGT